ACGATGAACTGAGTAGTATAAGATCGTCCTGTAGACTTTGATAGTCACCATAACATACTATTCCGAATAAATCATCTCTCCATGAAGCTTATTTACCTGTAAACAAGTAAACTATTTTAAAATCTTATTCGTCGCTTCATATTCATGGTTTCTTTAAGAATATACCGATTGTCAGTGTGCTTTTGAGGTCAATTTAGCAAAAGTGAAGTATTATGTCCCTTTGATTTCTTAATACCACGATTAATACTTCTCTTCAGCTAAGCAACTTTATCCGTATGCTCTTTAAAGTTTCTTACAGGGTCTAAACTTGTCAGCGTTTCAAGGTAACATTCACCATGTACTGACATTGGTTAGGAAACTACCAAAAAAATCGGGAGCACTGTTCAGTTATTTCGTCAATGGTTCTCCAACTGATGCTATTCAGTGATGAATGTTGCCTAGAAATCAGTCGATCTTCACAAACCTCACAATTAAGTTACTGTCTGGTGCGCAATAATGACATGCTTCGAGATAGATTTCACCATGCTTTAAGGAGAAGCGGTCACTTACAAATAATCGCCCATGGAATTGGATGATGGTCCCATTGTATCGCTAACTGACAGAAGTAGGATAGTATGGACTGCTGGCATCCAATCCAGTAACCGCCTGGTAAGGTGCTGGCCAAAGGATTTGACGATAATCAGTTCAATTTCTGGCAGGATCCTGGATGTCTACTTCTGAGAAGTCTCATGTTGGGACAAAATATTTGTCCATTGTTTCCAGGTTTTCACTAGTTTTGATGATTTACTTGTCACCAGAAAAAATTAAAAACGCATAAGCCATTTGAGAGGTGTTTTCTGACAACCAGAAGAGAATGACAGAGTGATTTGCTTAGAAGAGTTGTGAATTTACGAAAACGTCTTTTAAATTCTTAGGATAATTAATTGAAAAGCAGGATATCTAAACCGATTCCTGGTGGAGCTCAAGCTATAAAGGATGACTTACCATCAGATTTATCCAAGTTATGTTGATTCCTGGGATCGATTAAAATCTGCTATCGACTAAATTTTAGCTGTGTTACCATTTGTCACAATTACTTCTTTGTTTGCGAAAACGCTTACTTTTTCTTCATCGGTCCACAGGAACTATTCAGTCATTTGAAAAAGTTAAATAACTGCCCTTTGAGAAGAACCTACGTCACTCAGTGCTGCAGTTAGTAGCCTTACCAGTGAGTTATTCGGGTCGAATAACTGAGGTGACATGGGTTCCCCAGACGTTGAATTTACACTTTAGTGACGAGTTTCAAAAAGCATGAAACTTAGGTCCATGGCTTCCTGCCGACTGCCTTCAAGTAACTAGCAATAACATTCCCTTAGCACTTATGATTGACGTATCTACTATCACTGTCGGCATGGTTTACAACATGATGTCAACAGCGAATGGTATGCTGTTATGATTCGAACACCAAATAAATCAAATGGTTCTCTGTCCCAAGTACCCATGACTTTAAATTGAGATAATTAACAACCACAACCTACAAAATCCTTAGCCACTAGCGCAATCGACAAGGACAGAATAAAAATGCACGATATCTGTGATATCTCATAGGATGATTGAAATTAAATCCCATTATTAGTAAACTGTTTAATCGTACTCATAATGCAGTTTAGTAAATCTTATTATACCTTAAATGTAATGAGGCAAGATCATATTAGCATAAAATAGTACTACACATCATGTAGTCAGTTTTCTGACAAATAATCGGACTTCTCAGGAGTTAAAGACCTTATATAAGTGTGACACATCGCATCTTCCTATTTTCAACAGCAAAAACAACTTGAAGTTTCGCTTGCTGCCGCCTTGAGGGAAAATAATTGGCTTACTAAACTTTTACTAATAAAGGTTAAGACTAGAGTTATTTTAAGGAATATTCGATGCATTTACTAAAGGTACGTGTGAGACAGTTAAAAAGATCACTTAGATCCCACCGACACAGGATTTCCTCAAATAACTAAGTGTATCCATGTTTTCATCATAAAAAGGGAGCCTCCAATGACCACTACAACCAAATTACGATGGTCTGCACAAAGTAATAACAAGAAACAATAAACTCACTACTGCTGAAAGACTGACCACAGCAAAGGCCCTCAGTACTGGAACAGCCAGAGTTTATTGATAACATTTCGAAAGACGATAACATAAATTTAATCAGTGGTGTTATACCGTCTCAAACAGTGGGATCCAGAGCAGCTTCAAAGAAATCTACAATGTAGGTTGACACAGCTGGGGGGAATAATAGCCAGAATGATGTGCACAAGTAATCATTATTTGAACTCTTTCTCCACAGAAATGATAATCAAATCATCTGTCGTTGTCTATTCACGTTAGTACTTATTTGTATGTTATTTATTACACTGCTTCTTTTTTATCTAGGGTTCGAGAATTTCCGGTTAATTTTCATCATTTACTTAGAATCAAATTCGATAGCGATACAGAATGGAGGCGACGACCAATAAATGTCCCAGAAACAGCCAATCGGTATTCCTCAAAGTTAAAAATTCATTTCAGAGATTATAAAAGCTACGATAAAAAGTAGAGAAGGAAAAAACTTTTAAATAGGGCAAACCTGATGTATACATTGTGATTACTTCTCAGTTCATTATTGATCGGTGTTTCAATGGAAAAGTTTGATCACCTTCCGTCCTTTTATTCCTCATATGGCTGTCCACAGTTTCTATCTTTTCTAGGCCTCTTTGAGAATTTGTCCATTCCTTTTGGATATATCGCAGCGATTGACTGAATAAAATCAGAGACAATAGCTTTAGTACATGTTGACACCTCCAGCCTCAGTTTAGAAAATTTAGGAAAAATAATCGATCTCAAATTCAACTTTTGGTAATTCCTTTGCTCGTTGAGTTTCCGCTATGTGATGAATCTACTCTGAAAATAGAGTCGAATTTCTACTTAAACAATATAACCTACTTCAACCAAATAATCAGTTGTTCAGGCAAAACTGATCAACTTATCTGAATTGCATTGTGAGCGTTACTCGTCTTTACCCTACTGTTGGTCAATATTAAAGTAGCTTAACTGATTGTTCAAAATTGTTTGATTGCTTGTAGCTGCTGTATTTTTTATCTACTACTCAAACTCAATTACTTTTATAATCACATCAATTTTTCAAATATTCATTTCACTTTGAATCATCACCCAATATTATTGTGAGTCTGTCTAACAACGACTATCTCATATAGTCAAACTGATAATCAATATGATGCTCCTCCTCTCTACTTCAGTTAGATTTGGATTGGGATGAGAAGTCCTGACATGGCAGGCAGTATGAGTACGATCAAGCGATGGTAATGCGTCACGAATTCACTTAGTAGTTGGGCAAAACCCTTGGTGATTGAAGTAAAATAAAAATCTGATCAGTAGTCTGGTCTCGTAGCTCAATTAATAAAGCACGAGGCCGGAAGTTCAGTGGTCACTTGTTCGAATCCTACCGCGGTCCAAATTTTCATTTCATCTTCAACTATCACCCAGTATCATTTCAATTTCACACTAAAATATGACTTTATGACATTTATTTCTAAAGTAATCCGTATTTTTCCAACTGTTAAGTACTTTTTCACATTTCAGTACTTTGACGAAGGAGGATGCACGTTTTATCTTCTCCACATTCATCATTTACTAATACTGCATGTACATGTAAACCAATTTTGTTTGATGTCAGAGGATAGTAATATGCGCACTTCTGAATTTCATCCAGGTTGTCTTTCACTTTGTCACTATTGTCATAAGTGATGTCAGGATCAAATAAACATAACAGTTACAAATACAGACATGTTTTGTTCTAACCAGAGCCAAAGCGCTGTTCACTTGTATATCCCTATCTGCATTAGAAACCACTAAGGGAGAAGGTAGTTTTGTATAAACAATCTCTAAAGACTGATAATTCGTCCACAGTTCTCTGTGGGTTTTCTATAATGGGTGGTATCCTACCTAGTTCACTAATAAACACTATGGAAAACTAACAAATAATATTTGTGGTCGAGTAGTAATCAATTATCTGAGATAGGTAGATAAATTATTACTCATGCGGAAAATCTCCAACGCTACCTAATGAATAAAATCTTTCATCCCAGTTTTGCTTTCCCTTAAAGATAATATGAACTTTACAATAATTTCATTAGTGAATTAATTCATCAGTTTCATAGAAAATCCAAAATTCTTGTTATCCTTGAAAGAAAATTTTTAAATTCCTACGGGAAAAATTAATGAACTTCTCCCATTGTTTATATGCGTACGAAATTAAATAAGATTTTTACGATTTTTTGTAAATAACCCTAATCTTGAATAATTCAGCCCATGACCAACTACTTTTTTACTACACAGAAAAATACATTCACGTTTTAGCTAAGTATCTGTTTTTCATAACATTAGTATTTTGAATACTATTATATGATATATAGAAATAAAAGTAAACTAATTCAAAATGATCTTTTATATACTTTTAAATAACTTCAGAAAAACAAGATTGTAAATATCTTTGGAAAAGAGAAAAAATTGAATCATAGTATTAAAGTCTAGTAAAACAAAGATGAAATCAAACATAAAACTATAAACAAAGTGGATTTAACTTCCTTCACAACTGTACATAATCATTTATTTACTCATTTAATTGAGAAAGTTATTTTTTCACATAATAACTGAACAAAAGAATGTTGAAGAAGAAAATCATTTAAAAAATAATGATAAAATTTTCAGTAGACTTAAAATGTAGTAAGAATTAAATATACTAGAGGACTGTATCAATCTTAAATGTTGAATGATCACAATAAGTATAGAAGGACTAGAATACTATAAGTGTATTGAACATTTAAAACAACATAAAAACACGATAAGTTTGTCGTAAAAACACACCGAAAGGAGAAAATAGTGAGAATTGGAAGAAAAAGAAAACCGGGTTTTTACTAATCCTTTTTAAAAACTTAAATGAAAGTAAATTCGATTTTTTTTATTTATTTTGAGTTCCCATAAAAAGCATTAGACAACAGACCATGATTACATGATTCAATAGGAGGATGATAGTAATGATGAGATGAACTACTAGGAAGAAATGATGACGTCATTAACAAAGCTGGTTGTACTGAAAGAGGAGTAGTATGAGGAAATATAAGTGTTGAATGTGTATACAATGATCCCATCTGATGATTAGTGGTTAAACCATGTACACAACCCTGACTAGAAGTGTCTTCATCTCGATTCTGAGAGTTGCTTTGAAGTGTAGGTTGTTGGGAGAATGGAATAGGTGTTCCTGACCAAATAACAGGTTGATTACATGAACTGCTACTAAATGGTTTATACATAAACCATTTACCAGTATTCTGTTGTCTGTAGGTGTTTTGGATACAGTCAATGGTATTTTTTGATAAAATACTAGAAGTTGGATCTGATAGTTTGTTAAACTGGATTAGTCTGTTTCTATTATTTGTTTCTGTTTTTAATAGATTTTGTAAGACGAATGTAACCATTCGACTAATTAATTGGTTTGAGATATCGTCTATTTCACAGTTGCGTAACTGATAAACTGACCATAATGTAGTTCGAGCTGCTCTTATTTGTCCAGCAAGCTTTTCAAACAGAGATGAAATCATCTCATCATCGAAATTTATCTAAAATATAAGGAGAGAAATTATTGTTAAACATAGAAATAACACCATATTTATTCTCATGATTTTTTTTTCATTTCAGCTTCACAACATAGTTATCCTATTGAAAAAACATTTCCCAAAATTTTTTGAGAAGATATATAAACCCTGCTATCATACCAAACATCATCCCTGTTTAGGAAAACAGCAAAAAGATTTAGTGTCAGTCATAATTAAATATACATATATCAACCTTTTTTTTTCATAAAAGCTTCAAAATTTTCTGAGCGAAACAGAGTCGTCAACGAACAGAAAGTGTTATACTATACAATGAAATTGTACGGATCTATCATACAAGTTCAGAATTCCTGAAGAGTTTCACAACCAACCATTGAACTACAGAGTTTTGAGAAAGGAATCATGATCATACGTATACGTATCAGATTGGTTGATGAGGCAAAATCTAAAGACAATACCCCTCTATTGCTGCTTGCAGACCACCAGTTATGAATATATATATAAACCTTTTTATTTTGTACATGTTTCGATGCTACAATACGCTTTATTTTGTCTCACAATCTTTTCTGTTCTTTAAGGAATTTAGCAACCATCAAGGAAAGAATCTAAAGGTTATTGTGTAAGTTTCCAAGCGCAAATATCAGGTTTTACCAAACAGTGAGGCAAATAAGTCAAAACTTTTCCCCTCTTTAAAGTTCTCAGAATGTAAACACATTAAACGCTCACTAATTCAAAGTCCGTAAGACATACCATCAGAGATGACATTAGTTAACATTGTCTAACAGTGATACATGTCTCAAATCAGTAGCTCACACTTTTAATGCCTCATGAATGTTTACTTTTCCGAAAGTGAAAGTGGTATGGCGAAACCACTCTGACATTACTAACTAAATTCTGCAGTTTAACCTACCTCATATACAGTTTATTCTAAGCGATTATTATGACAATAACCTTGTAAAGTGCTGGTTGTTTGAAGCCTACCTGTTAAGACTACTAAATAATAATGAAAAGTAGCATCCAACAATACAACTTACATATAACAGATTTCTTTGTTCACGTTGAAACGATCGAATGAGATTTACAGGACGCTCAATGGCTGAATAAACATAGATAGGAATTTCAACTGAATAAAACTCTTTAATACGTTTCAAAAGATGAATGATCTGTCAATGGAATTAAAGAAACAGTAAAAATTTTAGATTTATGTTAAGACTCTGGTTTTACTCCTTTTTACATTGATGTGATAAATAGACCTGAAAAAAGAGCTGGACAAAACACTTCCACACATTGTAAAGCATACAGTATATGAGAAAACTGAGGTTGTTTAGTGAAACAGAAGTAATATGCTCAAGTATTTTCATCAGACCAAGACCATCAGGATATGCGATCAAATATTTGAAACAATGAGTTACTCGAAAGTCGAAGAAATTCCCAGATTTTCATTTCACATGAAATTATCACCCAATATCATACTTTGCCTGACTGATATTCATATTTCTTGTTTCACATAATTTTTACTCAACTGTTTTTCTAAATGAAATCACACCATTGTTTATTGATACTTAGAATCTCCTACTGCTACACTGGGTTGAATTGCTTAACTTCTGTTGGTAGATGGGTTCCTATACGAATGCCTCAATACTGCCTGGATATCCATTATATTGTAGTCTGTTTGAAGAATAGCAATGGAATTTAGAACTCACGTTTCTTCCAATCTGGGACTCGTTAACTGAATGTACTTGCACCCCAGTGAGTGATGTTGTTCCCACTGGGACTCGAACCCGGTATCCATCACCTCAAACGCCAAATCCATTGAGGCATGAGAACTGCCACTTGTGTAACGGGTATTAGTTGTTTTTAACCGATAGGACAGAAGGAGACGCGCTACCGATCAAGTAGACTGTGAAGTTGCACCAGATTCACTTATTCATTCGCCTCCTATCTTGCATCTCCTATATTTTTTCAACTGATTTGATGATTTATGAAATATTATTCTCACTCATACTAATACACTTTAGAATGTATCGTACAAAATCTTATTAAAGGTAAACACTCCAAATCTTTTAAGCCCTGTCTCCATGATTCTGTTTCTACTTAACTAGTATTCTTAGTATTAGACGGAATTTGAACTAAGTCATAGAAAATGTCAACTAATGAGCTTCAGTTTACTATAGCTTACATGGATAAGCATAACAATATACTTACATATAGTGTTGTTGAACATAATGATTCGATACAACTTTGTATAGTTGTTAAATCTTGACATAATTGAAAACCATTTGCGTTTGGATATTGTGAACTTTTGTTTAGACTATCTGGTAAATTTGATTCAATCTACATCAATTGACGTAAAAAACATTTTTTTTTAAATACAATACAATAAAAACACGATTAAGTATTCATTTAATTCATATTCTAAGGAATGAATTATTTAGAAGTAAATTTTTTTTCACCAAAAACTAATATCGAATAATAACACTGCTAACTAATTGATATTAGATAATGCTTATCCACTGCGTATTCGCTAACCTCGCCTGGTTAACTAGTTTACTAGTTACTAGCCGGTCCTAAGCCCGGGTAAAGAGGGAAGGTTGGGCATAGGGCTAGCAACCCTACCCCGTAAAACAAATCTAACCGCTAAAGAAACTTCAAAGCATAAATGAAATATAAAAAATAATTAACAAAATTATTCCTCGCTTGAATCGGAGAGGCGAAATGATGCTGGTTGGTGAAAGCTTTCGGGAAGCCAATTGGCCGATGTGTCTACTCTTCTCTCAATGAAAGCGAAAGTAAACATAGGGACATGGAGTATCTGCGTGATGTTTGAATCCAGCAAGGCAGCTTAGATTGCAAATGAAATGAAAAGGTATTACATTGAAATGCTTGGAATTTGAGAAAGCAGATGGAATAGGAGTGGACTCTCCAAACTGTCAACTGCAGAATCAAACTGCATATTCGCTAGTGATCAGTATGAGTGAATTGTCTTCACCAAAGTTATCATATACAACTTCATATCTTCATTTCAAGTCATATTTGTTATTTAAAAGTTGATAATACTTCAGTATAGTTAAATAAACCCTAATAAACAGAATGATAATCAATTTCTATGTTATAATATTCAAATTCTGGATAATTTTATTATTTAGTGAAAATTATTACCTGTAAAAATTTAAGAATTCAGATTATTTGTCTACAAAAATCTTTGAATAATTGAGTTACAGTTCAAATACTTGTATTTTTTCAAATTCAATCTATATCAACATAAAAAGTACTTATATTTCGCCTGTAAATACAACATAAAAAATCTTTATGTTTCACAGCCATTACATTCAATCAGTCAATATCAAATTTGCATAAATTTAAACTAGGAATCAAGTCTTAGATGAATATAAATGTTGACTAATGTTATTGGAATGAATTGAAACTACATAATGGAAAACATTGAATTCTGACTATCAAAAAATGTATAGACTATCAGTTCACTTTATGAAGAGATGAGTAGACTGGTTATTAAGTAATCTTTAGTTAAAATTACAGTAACTTCTTTATACACCGTATAATTTTCTCTATTTACTGTTTATCCAATAAACTTTATTTTATCAGTAAAACTAGCTACCTTTACATAACAATCTTTTAGAGATAAAACTTTAAAATATGAAAAATACTTAATAATCAACATAACAACATAACTACTTTACTTCAATGCCTTCTTGTAGATATTTTCGAAGTTGATTTTGTAACTTTTGAAATTGTTTTTTGCATTTATTATTCAATTTTTTTATTGCTTCATTTCTATATATGAACGAATAGTAAGTATGCTGAGCAATTTCAAAGAACTATGCATAATAAACAACATATTAAAAATAATTTGTAAAGAATTTTATCAAATATTTAACTGTATGACATATTGTAAGGTCAGTCCATCTGGATAGAAGGCCACTTTAAAATTTTACCAGTCGTTTGAGTGTATCTTGATGGGCTTACTGAACTCTGACTTACTCCGTTGTTTCATATTTTTTTTCCTATCTTTCCGATTATGTTCATCTGTTAGGGAATCATTGTCTTTTACAATTGACTGAATGTCAACAAAGGGCATTGGACACACTGTATAGTACACCACGTTTTCTTTTGAGCGCTATTTTTGTGCTTAAAACTAGTTTAACTGTAGTATTTTTTTTTTTAGTATAAATAAGTAATATCAAACGAAGAATGGTAACGCTTAGATTTCTGAGGGAGTTGTGAACATTTGGAAATATTTCAAGTTGCTGTTCATTGTAGACTGACATCAGTTGGAGGAACAAAAGAAACCTGGGAGCACTGGACAGCTGTTTCATCCTAGTATGGGACTCAGCAGTGGGCACCTATGACCCCGCCAGGGATCGAACCCGTGACCTTCAGGTTCCACGGCCAGCGTGTTACCATTAGATTTCTATCAATATTTTTTTAAACAGTGCAGAAATGAAGAAAACAAATGATAAGCAATATATATATATATATATATATATATATATATGAACGAACTTCCAGCACCATTATCAACTTTTAGCCACCTCATTAACTGGTTATCAATATTATATGACAATGAATAACAATTGTTAAGTGTATCACCTAATGTCATTCTTCGGTCCTTAACTCATTGTTTGGTAGCATTTCAAAATGGCCACTATTCCTCCACTTCCGACTTGACTATCTGCTGAGAAAAATAATTGAATTCTCGTACAAATCCAATGAGTTTACCTGTACACATCGTCAAATTTCTATTACTAGTGCTTCAGTAATTATCTGTCTGACGGAACAATGAACGAAAAGTACACATTCGATGACAAAAAACTATCAAAAATAGTGGAAACTCTTATATGCCAAACATTCCTTTATCTAGTGGTCCTTGGATCCTATCAGCATTATACTTATAATATCGTCGTCTGAGTGCTGATCTGGGTCAGGCAGAGACCCTTAGAGTAGATTTATCCACAATAAAGCTGGTGGTA